TCCATTGCGTTTTATATTTTAATAATATTGGATCCAGTTTTTTTTCTATTATCATATTCTCAAAAGAACGAGAAGTACTTCCGTATGAGATAAATAAAAAAATAGTTTAACGCTAAAAAATATTGAAGACATGCAGTGATGTTCAATTAGTCAAAGAGTCACTATAAAGTCTTTTCACAATGGAAGAATATTAGGAACAGAAATAAATAAAAAATTAAGAGTAGACAATAAACATAACGCACAACTACATATAAAATACAATAAATTATTTATATATTTTTTATTCATTTCTTAATTTTTTTATTTCGATATTTATTCTTTTTTCTAATATTTCTTCTTGTATGCAGGGTTTAAGCATAACATTTTTTTGTTTCTCATTTCATAGATAGAAAAACGACAGATCCGTATATTTAAATTTCGCGGTAAAAACAATGATTATGGTACTATGATTTATTAATTTCGTTATCACATGTCTCACAATCAATGACCGCGATTGCCAAAATATGCGTTTTTTTTGTAACTTTCCGAATTAATTGTGTTTTACAAATTCATATAAATACGTAATACTAAAATGAATAACGGCGGATGCAGTTTAGTGTTTACCGCCACTATACCAACGATCATCTCGTTTTGGCGGCAAACCGGCGTAACATAGCGTGACATAGCGTGGCATCGTTGAGCACTTGTGATTCTTGTGAATCGGAAGAACCGCGAAGAATTCGTGAGAGATAATAATTTTGTCATGTCAGGAAACGTGCTGAAGTTCGCTAAGTTGTCGGACAAGGCGTTCCCACCGATGAAAGGTTCGGAATATGCGGCAGGTTATGATCTACGGAGGTACATCATTCCCACTCTATAATTATTGACTTAACTAATTTTTCTATTACTCTGCTCTACCAAGTACTAGTGGCTAGTGACAATAAGAGAGTGATCTCAATCTACAATTGTTGTATTAGTTACATTCGTTCAAAATATTGTATATAAATATATGTTATATTTATAAGATAAATTGTTAAGTAATCTAATAAGTCTAGTGAGAACAAAGAAATCTGCCTTCGATTATAATAATCGATATAATAATTATGTATTTGGTGAGCATTTTTCTATCTATAACAATAATCGTTGAAATTTGATCATGTAAGTTTCTAAAATATTTCTCTTGTGATACAGTGCGTACAAGTATATTATACCAGGCCATGGCAAGGAATTAGTTAAGACTGATTTGCAAATAGAAGTTCCTTTTGGTACGTACGGCAGAATCGCACCACGATCTGGTCTAGCATGGAAAAATCATATAGATGTTGGTGCAGGTGTAATAGATGCAGATTATCGGTATATACTATGCACAGTTTCTATAAAGACAAAGGGAGTTTTCTAGCAAGAAACAAAGAAATGATATATAACATAATGAATCACCACATTCTTATTTGATAATGTTAAACAGAGATGAATAATCATGTATTCTACTATCTTGCTGGAAAGCATCAAAGGATAATAAAATGTCAAATGCTCATATTCATAACTCTTATATTTAAAGCTTTCTCAGATTCAACTTTAGATGTTATTTTACGAATTATTTTATTGGCACTTATAGAGCATAAAGATCTAAAGATGAATTTAAGGAAGCATTAAATTTAAGGCCTGATTATAGATATGAACAAAAGTACCATTGTTTTCATTTTAATGATTTATTTATTTTTTTGAAACAGTGGTAATGTTGGTGTAGTATTATTCAACCATAGTAATGAGGATTTCGAAGTTGTACCTGGTGATCGCATAGCTCAATTAATTTGTGAAAAAATTACATATCCTAAAATAGAAGAAGTAGATACCTTAACTGATACGAGTAGAGGTGCAGAAGGATTTGGCTCGACAGGCATGAAATAAACATTCAAACTTGATTGATATAAACTTTTATAAATCATATAAAGTACTTATATACATTAAGCTTTTTGTCTTGCATAAGTAAATACATTGATATTTTAATAAAATATAATCTCTTTATTTCTTAGAACCATTTATATATTAATAATATATATGCCTAATAATATATATTGATATAAACGTGTGTACATAGAAAAATATAAATAGAAAGATCTTTCTGTATTTTTTTTTCCCAAGAAATTTATATTTTTGAGAGAGGAACTAATCCTGTGTATGGAGTTGGTGTTTTGATGAGAGACAATATAGTTTTGAATTGTTCACTGTTTGCGTCCCGCATAAGCTTGAATATAACATTTTCAGAAGTGGTTATGTGACATCCTATGTCTCGCATTCTCTGTAAAAAAATAAATATAATTTGAACAATGCATATTTAATAAGATAATAAACTTGATAAATGAATATATATTAAAACGTCTGTTTTTTTTTAAAATAACAGAAATTTAATAATAAATTTAATATAAATGTTCTAAAAATTTAAAAGAACATTTATATTGCAATAATGATTAATAAACTAGATAGCACACAAGTCTTTTTTTTTAACTGAACTTGCACAATTTATTTTTTCTTTTTTTCTCTTCAGTGTGGAGGAAAAAGAAAAAGTAAAAGATAAACTGCAAGAAGTTCAGTTAAAATAAAAAGATATGTCTAATCATAGAACATACTTCCAAAGCTAGTAATCTATCCTCTTGAGTACGTGATGAACAACAGTCTGCCACAGTATGGACTTCATAGCCATATTGTCTTAAGTCAACAGCTGTATTTTCTACACAGACATGTGTTTCAACACCCATGAGTACAATAGACTCTGGTTTTTCTCCATTGCAAAATATCGCAAGCTCCTTATTAATCTGAAAAGAGCAAAACAGCATTTATGTAACTGATATAAATACTATTTGCAGAATATGAATATAGTGTGTACTTACTTCAGGAGTACACATACTAAATTGCATCTTTGCAAAAGGTCCCTTGGCTCCAGAGATATCAAGTTGAGGAATAGTTTTCCCCAAAGATTTTGGATTCTGTTCGGACACTAGCATAGGCACATTCATAATTTTTAGAGCGCTGATCTATAAACAATAATATTTTGTATTATGACAATTGTATTGTAATAATATTAATTTACAACTAGGACCCTTAAGTCTGTTCTTTTTAGTTGAATGAACTTATCTTGCATGTCTCTTCTTTTCTCTTTTTTCTCCAACATGGAGAAAAAAAGGGAAAAAAATGAAGTATACAGTAGTTCTGCTGAAAAGAACAGGCTTTGTAATTATGAGAAATAACATAACCTCAACATGTGTTTACATTCTAACAAATTGTACCATAAAACGATGTAATTTAATGAATTTACCAGTTTTGTTGAATTTTGAATTATTTTATCGAATTGGAATATAGCTTTCGCAAACTTTTCTTGAACATCGCATATAAATAATGCGGTCTTTCCTTGTCGGAGTATAACTTTTGCAGGATTTACAGCCATCTTCGCGATCGTTATTGTTATTCGTTATTATTTACGTTATCGTGATTAATTTTAATGTGCACACGAAGAAACGTGAACAATGCGACAAATTGCGTTTCACGGAAACTTAAAAACTACAAAGTATGACGTACTCGAAAAGTTTATATATGAGATTCAAAGTACGAGTCATGTGATATCAGGAATTGTTATCTATGTTATGCTAATTAACTATGCGCTCTAAACAATTAATGAAGGCTACGAACAAATGCTTTTTGTAGAACGCATTGGCAGAACATCGATTTTTTATATTAAATATTTATCGACTACAATAATTTTCATTATCAGCAAGATGCTATTTTTATTATCCATTTCATTAATTTAAAATTATTTATCAACAAATGATGTACTCTAAACAATTAATGAAGGCTATAAATAAACGCTTCCTGTAAAATCAAACGTTCATTGGCACAATGTGAATTCTTATTAAAAATATTTATCAAATATGTAATATTATATTAAAACTGACAAGAGGTTGTTTCTATTATTTCTAATATTCATTTTATTTATGAATAAAAAATAATTAGATTACAATATTTTGGGAAAACAATAATCAGGATATGTTTAAAATGCAAGTAACATATATTCACATGAGGCTAGTTTCTCGTAGACTTAATATAATATAAACGAGGCTAGCGATAACCTTTATTTTTTTTACTCTATTTATTTATCATTGAATTTATTATCACCCGCGCGGCGATAATAAATCTGCACGCGAATAAGAAACGCGCTGCATCTCATGTATGTTCATTCTTGCGTTACATGTCAGGTGTATACACGCCAGTACACGCCATGTGTCAGCGCAATCGGGCGCAATGTTATGTTATCAAATCAAGGGAAAGATCCACACATGCGCGATGATTACACTCATTTTTTTCAGTCGCGTGCATATTTTGTAAAAATAGGACTCTTACGAAAAAAACAGAAAGCATTTAAAAGTCAGCATTTAAAAAACATTTAAAAAATTGTTTTCCTTTTCTCACTCCATTCTTCCTGCTTTTATTTTCAAGCTTTAAGAATGAGATTTCACTTTTCAGAGTAGATCATTCTACAAAGTGAAATTTCTTAGAGATTGAAAATTGAGCCACTCTTTTTCATGACTTGCTCAATTTTCATGACTTGCTCAATTTTCACTTTTTAGAGTGAAATTTCACATCAAAGAATTTATGAAA